GGGTGGGGGGCTGTGAATTCAGGGAATGCTCAGCTGGGATATACTGGGCCTGAGATCATACATTGATAACAAGCACCTGACTGGGATCCTGGGAGTGTCTGGGAATGACTACGGACATGCTGAGGGCAACTGGGATATACTGGGAGTGTCTGTGAGCATACTGGGGATGACTGGGAACACACAGGAACCATGCTGGGGACAACTGGGACCCCATGCTAAGGACAACTGGGAGCGAGTGGGAGTGACTGAGTCTACACTAGGGGCAACTGGGCATGACTGGGACCATGCCGGGAGGGGCTGGGATCATCTGGGGAGGGACTGGGACTATACTGGGTTCAAGTGGGTGCAACTGGGATCACACAGAGAGTAACAGGGAGAAACAGGAACCATGCTGAGGGAAACTAGAATCTTACTGGGATCACAGTGGGAGCAGCTGGGCCATGCTGGGGGAGACTGGGACCATACTGGCAGCAACTAGGACTGCACTCAGGGTGACTGGGAGTGGCTGGGAGCTACTGGGATCAGGCTGGAAACACCTGAGGAGTGACTAGGAGCAACTGGAATAGACTGGGATAGACTGAAACCACAGTTCAGGTAAATGGGAGCGACTGGAAGCACCCTGGATAATCATGGGAGCAGCTGTGCCCATGCTGGGGTTCATACTGGGATCCTACTGGAACTATATGGGATCATACTGGGAGTGACTGAAAAGGTGCTGGCTGTGACTGGAGCCATGCTGGAGGTGACTGGGAGCAACTGGGCCCATCCTGAGAGTGACAGGGAGTCACTCTGGCCATGACTGGAATCACACTGGGATCATACTGAAAGTGAATGGAACCATACTGGGAGTGACTATAGCTCCTACCAGGATAGCACTGGGAACCACTGGGATTACAGTGGGTGCAAATGGAACCTGACTGGGGTGTTCCTGGGAGCTACTGGGCCCATGTTGGGAGGAAAATGTGGACACATTGGGAGCAACTGGAATCAACTGGAAGGTACTGGAACTGTGCTGAGGGGACTGAGGCCACAACTGGGATCTTACTGGGAGAAACTGGGAAAGAAGGGGATCATTCTGAGGTAACCAGAACCTTACTGGGGCAACTGGGATATACTGGGAGTGACAGTGACCACACTGGGAACAGCTGGAACCACAGTGGGGGCAACTGGGAGTGAGTAGGACGATGCTGAGATGCACTGAGACTGTTCCAGGGGCAACTGGGATCATACTGGTAGGAACTGGGAAGAATTGCAACTATTCTGGGATCATACTCAACTGGGATCATACTGGGATCACAGTGGGAGCAGCTGGGTCCATGCTGGCTGAGACTGGGACCACACTGAGGGTGACTGGAATCATACTGGGATTGACTGGGAGTGGCTGTGATCAACTGGAATCATGCTGAAAGCAACTGGGAGCAAGTGGGAACGACTGGGAGTATGCTGGGGCTGACTGAGATATACTGGGAGAGACAGGGAGTCCCAGGGATCACACTGGAAGCTACTGGGGTCATACTGGCATTGACAGGGAGCAACTGGGGGCCACTGGCCTCATAATGGGAGTGACTGGGATTAGACTGGGAGTTACTAGGATCATACTGGGAGTGTCTGACATCAGACTGGGACTGTGAAGTAAACTGGAAAATTGAGGAAAAAATGGAAAAAAATCCCAGGATAAATTTAAGGAAAAGAGAAGGGAAAAGACAGGGGGAAAAAAAAGAAAAAAAACAGGGATAAATAAAAAAAAAAGGGGAAAAATCAATAAAATATGGGAAAAATTTTGGAAAAATGGGAAAATTTGACAAAAAATTGGGGAAAACCAGGAAAAATTCGGGGGAAAAAAAAGAGAAAACTCAAGGAAAAAATGGTAAAAACTGGGGGGAAAATCAGGAAAAGAAAGTGGGAAAAAATCTGGGAAAAATAATGAAAAATCAGAAAAAATGGGGAACAAAATTGGCAAAAAATAGGGAGGAAAAATCAGGAAAAAACAGGAAAAATAGTGGAAAAAGCTGGGAAAAACAGGAAAAAAACAGAGAAAGAACTTGGAAAAATCAGGGAAAATCCAAAAAAGAAAGAGGAATAAAATCTGTAAAATACCGAAAAAAAATTGGGGAAACAAAACCAAGAAAAATCAGGAAAAAAATAGGGAAATTTGAGAAAAAATTTGGGAAAAAGCTAGAAAAAAATTGGGAAAGGAAGAGAGAAAAATCAGGAAAAAATGGGAAAGGTGTGAAAAAAATTGTGAAAAATAGTGAGAAATGAGGGAAAATATCAGGAAAAGAAAGCCGAAAAGACCCTGAAAAAAATCAGGAAAAAATTGGGAAATACATAGGAAAAACCAAGAAAAAACCAGAAATATTTGAGAAAAAAATGCAAAAAATCAGGTAAATAATTGGGAAAAAATTAGGAAAAAAGTGTGAAAAAAAAGAAAAATCAGGGGAAAATCAGGGAAAAAAACAGGAAAAGGAAAAAAAAATCTGGAAAAAACAGAAAAAAATAATGAAAAAAATCAGGAAAAATTTGGGGAAAACCAGAAAAATCTGCGAAAGGAAAAGGGAAAAATTAGGGAAAAAAAAAAAAGAAAAAAGGGGAAAACTGCAAAAATCAAGGAAAAGTTTGAAAAAAAATTGGGAAAAATTGGGCAAAAAATCAGAAAAAGAAAAAGGAAAAAGTCAGGAAAAAATCAGGAAAAAATTAGGAAATACAGGGAATAACCAGGAAAAAAATGCAAAAATAAGAGGGAAAAATCAGGGAAAAAGTGGGGGAAAAAATTGAGAAAAGAATCAGGCAATAATCAGGAAAAAAGAAAAGGGAAGAAGATCAGGAAAATTTTGGAAAAATCAAGGAAAAAAATTAAGGAAAAAATGAGAAAAAGAAAGTGGTGGAAAAAACCTTGGAAAAGTGGGAAAAAATTGGGAAAAAGCCAGGAAATATTTAGAAAACAATCAGGAAAAAATCAGGAAAAATTAGGAAAAAATAGGGAAAAGTTGGGACAAATCAGAGTAAAAACTCAGGAAAAAAATTGGAAAAACCAGTAAATTAGGGAAAAATTTGAGAAAAAGTTGGGAAAAAGAAAATTTTGGCAAGAGGGGAAAATCAGGGAAAACTGGGAAAAAATCAGGGGAAAATCAGGAAAATTTGAGAAAAAAATGGAAAAAAGCAGGAAATAATTGGTAAAAAAAGGAGGGGAAAATCAGGAAAAAATGGGGGGAAAAACTGGGAAAAAATCAGGGGAAAAAAGAGAGAAAAAATTGCGGAAAATATTGGGAAAAATGGGAAGAAAAAGGGACAAAGTGAGGAAAAGAAAGGAAAATAATCTGGAATAATCAGGAAAAAGTGGGAAAAACCAGGAAAAATCAGGATGAAATCCCCCTATCTCATTTTTAAATGGAATTTTGGGAATTGCCTACCTGGGAGGTCATAGAAGAACTTCCAGACCTGGGAATCCAGGGAGTGGGGAAGGGTGAAATTGTGGATGAGCTGCTCTAGATTTTTGGGAAGGTAGATGGCCTGGTCCTTTTCCAGCTTCCAGAATGTTTGGATGAATCCCAAGTCTCCTTCCAGCTGGAAATCATGGAAAAATCATGGAAAAACCATGGAAAAATCATGGAAAAATCATGGAAAAGCTGTGACTCAAATTCATGGAGTTTTGCCCCCAAA